ACTTTTTTATAATTAGCACGACTCTATGTGAATTTTTTTAGTAAATAATAAATATTCTTGCTAGGTAAACACAAACTGTAATTCACGGGGAAGTTAAGGACTATAGTGCATGGCTCGAGTATCATTATTACCAGTTTGGTTTTGTTTCAAGTCTTATGTTGTTGTTTGTGGTGGTTGCATGTTTGAGGACTTTACGGGTTGAAAAATATATAGTATTTGTTAAAATAAAACAAAAATTAAGAAGATTTTTCTCATTAAGTTTGATTTGCATTACCTTTTTTGATACTTAAAAAAAAACAAATTAAAAGGCTAAAAAAATTGAAGATATAATAAGGAACTAGGGGAGGTCCCCGCGCCCGGCGCGAGGTTGTATGTTGATTAAAACCAGATTTAGTCATTTAAGGTTATAAGTTTTAGACAATTATTGATTTAATTTTATCAAGAGTATAATTTTTATAACGACATTAATATAGAATTATGGTAAAACGCCATAACGTTTGATATATTATTGCGAGAAAATAGTGATTATTATCCTCTGAATATAGTAAAATGCAAAACGGAAAACTAAAATCATTAGAACCAGAAAGTATAAATTTAGTAGTCTTGGTTTGCTCATCAACAACCAAAGATAATCAAAAGATCAAAATTGGATGTGTGACATTTGTCCTTTCTTCTTGTTGGAAAAGATATCTCGCATCCTCGTTACATCATGACAAGAATGATTGAATAGAATCTGCGAACACTTGTATGAAGCAGTACCTCTTCGTGTACCTTAATTATCAAAGGAATATAGTTTCAATGTCTCAAACCCCAACAATACATGTTAAATAACAAAACCAAAACAAAATACTTTCACTCATTTCAGTTCTTGCAAATCTGAATATACATATGGTAATGTCATCAATACATTGCCTCCACTCAGCGAAAAATTTATTGACATAAAACCACGGTAGTCGATACCGGAGACGCTCACAACTACAAACAACAGAAATTTCGAAGGTACCAATAGTTCTTGACTTCAAATTTAATAATGTGACAATGACAATAATGTGACATCGACAATATTATGTTAACTTACAAAATCCTTCAATTTTTACAAGACATTGAAGTTTAAAGATTATGTTCATTTGGAAACTCCTTCCATTATCCTAAAGATATTGATGTCAAAACTCTTAGGTTAATTTTGATATCATGCTCTTCCTCTCCAGACTATTTTAAATAATTGCCCACTCGTCAATGACTGGCTTCTTGGGAGCAAATTCAATCTGATGAGTGTTGTTTTTGTACTTTTGTAACAGAGTATGGGATCACCTCCTGCTCCTCTGTGAGATCTTTCGAGGTATGGAATTTGGTTTTCTCTAGGATTTATCCTCGACAAAGATTGTTTTGATTTTGGACTGAGATACTTCTTGGACCGACACTCTTCTACCCATGAGATACTTAAATAATTGTCAACTCGTCAAAGATTGGGTTCTTGGGAGAAAATTCAATCAAATGAGTGTTGTCTATGCACTTTTTCAGCGGAGTCTCGGGATCACCTCATGCTCCTCTGTGAGCTCTTCCTAGGTGTGGAATTTAGTTTTCGCTAGGCTTTATCCTCGACAAAGGTTGTTGTGCTCCTAGACTAAGCTACTTTCTTGGATCCGGCACTCTTTCTCTCTAGAGTCACTTAAATAATTTCCGACTCGTAAAAGACTGGCTTCTTGGGGACAAATTTAATCCGATGAGTGTTGTCTTTGTACTTTTGTAACGGAGTCCCGAGATCACCTCTTGCTCCTCTGTGAGCTCTTCCCAGGTGTGAAATTTAGTTTTCTATAGGTTTTTTCCTCGACAAAGGTTGTTTTGCTCTTGGCCTGAGCTACTTTCATGGACCGTCGAGAGTCACTTAAATAATTGCCCACTCATCAAAGACTGGCTTCTTGGGGCCAAGTGCTATATTTTCACTTTTGCAACAGAGTCTCGGGATCACCTCGTGTTCTTCTGTGAGATTTTTCAAGGTGTGGAATTTGGTTTTCTCTAGGATTTATCCTCCACAAAGGTTGTTTTGCTCTTGGGTTGAGCTACTTTTTTGGCACCTGACGCTCTTTTTCTGTTGAGACACTTAAATAAATCTCGCTCCAATCGTCCTCTTCAGTCGTTAAAGACTGGTTTCCTGGGGACAAATTCAATTCGAGGAGTGTTGTCTACGCACTTTTGCAACGGAGTCTCAGGATCACCTCATGCTCCTCTGTGAGCTCTTTCGAGGTGGGAAATTTGATTTTCTCTAGGCCTTATCCTTAACAAAGGTTGTTTTAATCTTGGGATGAGCTACTTTATTGGACCCAACGCTCTTCCTCTCCTTACACTTTTAAATAATTGCCGACTCGTAAAAGACTGGCTTCTTGGAGATAAATTCAATCCGATGAGTGTTGTCTTTGTACTTTTGCAACAGAGTCTCGAGATCACCTCTTGCTCCTCTGTGAGCTCTTCCCAGGTGTGTAATTTAGTTTTCTCTAGGCTTTGTCCTCGACAAAGGTTGTTTTGCTCTTGGCTTGAGCTACTTTCTTGAACCGTCGAGAGTCACTTAAATAATTGTCCACTCATCAAAGACTGGCTTCTTGGGGGCAAGTGTTGTATTTGCACTTTTGCAACGGAGTCTCGGGATCACCTCGTGTTCCTCTGTGAGCTTTTTCAAGGTGTGGAATTTGGTTTTCTCTAGGATTTATCCTCCACAAAGGTTGTTTTGCTCTTGGGTTGAGCTACTTTCTGGCACCTGACGCTCTTCTTCTATTGAGACACTTAAATAAATCTCCAATCATCCTCTCCAGTCGTTAAAGACTGGTTTCCTAGGGAAAAATTCAATCCGATGAGTGTTGTCTATGCACTTTTGCTACGGAGTCTCAGGATCACATCCTGCTCCTCTATGAGCTTTTCTGAGGTGGGAAATTTGATTTTCTCTAGGCCTTATCCTCAACAAAGGTTGTTATACTCTTGGGCTGAGCTACTTTATTGGACCCAACGCTCTTCCTCTCCTTACACTTTTAAAGAATTGCCCACACATCAAAGACTGGCTTCTTGGGAACAAATTCAATCTGATGAGTGTTGTCTTTACACTTTTGCAACAGAGTCTCGGTATCACCTCATGCTCCTCTGTGAGCTCTTCCCAGGTGTGGAATTTAGTTTTCTCTAGGCTTTGTTCTCGACAAAAGTTGCTTTGCTCTTAGGCTGAGTTACTTTCTTTGTCCTAACGCTCTTCCTCTCCAGAGTCACTTAAATAATTGCCCACTCGTCAAATACTGGCTTCTTGAGGACAAATTCAATCTGATGAGTGTCGTCTTTGCATTTTTGTAACGAAGTCTCATGATCACCTTCTGCTCCTTTGTGAGCTCTTTCCAGGAGTGGAATTTAGTTTTCTCTAGGATCTTTCCACAACAAAGGTTGTTTTGCTCTTGGATTGAGCTATTTTCTTGGATCTGACGCTCTTCCAGTCATGTGCCTTCTTTGCTTAGAAAAGTAGCATCTCAAGTGGTGGTTTATAAGTTCTGGCGACAGCGTAATAACATTCTTCATAACTCCTTGCGGCTTGCTGCTCAGATCATTTTCAAGATGGTGGAGTGGAGCTACGAAACATCATCACTTCGAGATGAACAAAGCTTATGCTTATTTGGATTCGTTATCTATTTTCAAATCTTTCTTTACTCTACTGTAGTCTTGTTTTTATCTCTTTTTTTGCCAAGGTTGCTTTTGTGTAATTATTTATCTTTTGTAAAGCCTCAAACTTCATTTTAGATCATATTTACATGTTTAGGAAAAAAATAATTCGGAAAAATGGAAACAAAAAAAATAGATAAGCTTAGTAACTAATAAAAATTTCTGTGATCCTTAGCACAAAACAACTCTGCATTCCTGCAACTTTCAGCACACATATTTTTTAGCATCATTCGGGTGCCATTGCAAACAATAGTAGCCAAAACCATAAGAAACAATATCATAGAAACGTGATCGACTAATAAATATTCAGAAATTATATATACATGAAAAAAAACAATATTCGAATACCTCGAGTGACTTCTATTCTAGTGAATCTCATGATAAATATGGTGATATTATCACATTGTTTACTCCGTTCTCTCAAAAATTTACAACAGTATCCACCATGTAGTCGACATTATAGACGTAAATTTATTATAAAATTAAGTTTTTAGCATACTACACAAATTAAACTATAACAAATCTAATTTTGACTAAATTAATAACTTACAATTCATCTTCTAGTTCCACATAAACTTGATCCCACACTTTATTATTGGTTTTCCGTCTTCAATATTGCTAACACTCACGACCCAACCAATTAAATATAATTATTTAAATTAATAGATCAAACCATAACAATGCAAAGAATAAAATATCCAAACAAAAGATATTATGGGACCAAGGAAATAAACATACTCAAAATTAAGTATCAATTTTCCTAAAAGATGCGAATGCGCAGTAATCAATCGCACCCAAGGAAGGTATATGTGAAACAAAGATTGATAAATTCCAATGAATTTTAAAATCATAAAAAGTATGACTAAGCAAACCGATAACATGAATCAAAATCTCTAAGTGTTATCCATCCAGGGCCTGCCCTAAGATTTGAAGGGCCAAATACTCAAAAAAAAGTTTTTGGTTATTTTGAAAGGTTTTAAAATTTAGGGCCAATTATAGTAAAATAAATAAAATTAGGTCCGTTTCATAAATAATTTTTGTTGAAGAATTTCAGAAACAAAATTTGGGTTACAGCAAAAGTTTCTTGTTGATGTCTATAGGGCCGGCCATGTATCTATCGTCCTTGGAAAAACCTGAATCCACGATGACGATAATACTCTCTATCAATTATAGTATGTATGTCGTGACCCTAACAAATAAAATAAAATTGTTAAAGGTATAGCAATCTTTCAGCAAACAATTTATTTTATTAGAAAAACCAAAAATCTGTATAACCTCTGTATCAGTATAAGTTGGAACATATCGTCCAAGATCGAAGAACACTTAAACCTATTAAGTATCTATACTCAGATACTTTGATTTTACAAGGGAGCACTGAAGGGTGCAGATATGACACTCATGCTACGATAAAATCTTTCAAAGCATTTCTTGCTCATCTTCGGGGTTTTGTCCCATATTACGAGCCTAGCTAATCTAATCAAATATACATGATGAGAATATGTCTTTATCAAGTAAGTAGTGGATTGATTAGGGTTAAGTGGTATACCAAACCTCCTTAATTAAGACTCTTGGTCTCTTAGTCTCTGTTTCTATACCCTCTGTTTTACCTCTTTGTAAAGGAAGAATCTAGATTATTCCACTTCATGACGTATTAATTAAATTTTCCAACATGCTATTTTTACATTTCACTGAATCGTTTGCTTCGCGGAACAGTTTCCTTCAAACATTGAGAAAAAAAAATCATCATTATTTGATGTTCTAAAACTGAACAACAGAGCAGATGCAGGTATATCATGGATATTGAGGCTTAGAGTTGATACAAAGTTGTTTCTTAAAGATTTACCTTGCTTTGATTTTAGTCTTTTCTCTCTGTCACATTTCCCCTTAGCACTGTCTGTTTTCTAGAAGTAGCAGACACAGTCAAAGGTGTCTGTTTCCTTTGAGCGTCAGAGCATAATCATTTCCCTACAAACCATGCGATACAATAATTAGCATTTTTCATCTATAGTATCATGTCTGATAATCAATACCTTAATGGGATTGCTTTCAATACATGTATGAGATATGTTTTTCCGCAATTTCTTGCTCCGTGGGCGATGACATTAGCATCTTTACCCTCAAAGACAGTAGAGATAAGAGGCTTTATCTCCTTTGATAGAATGAAACCTGTGATTCTGTTTTTTTTGTAGCAATAGTCCAATTTATATGAATCTTTCGAACTGCCACAACACAATAGTTAATATGGCTTGAAACGTTGCTAATCCACAACAGACTGTGAAAGATTTAACTCAAAACTCAAAAGTATATTCTACTCGGTGAGAACATTTTTGTAAAATTAGAAAATCGATAAATTAAAGATAAAATATCAATTGAAACATCACCTGAATCTTCTTCATGCATCGTAGTTGCTTTCATTCATCCAAAACATACAATCGTTTAAAAAAACAAACACTATTAGAATTTATAGTAACGAAAATAATATGTATAGCCAAAAAACAAGAAGATGAGCATACCAAGGCTCCTCGGAGGCAACGATTGGTGTCTGAAAATTTTAGCAGCGTTGTGCCTCTTGTTGGTTGGAATTGGAACACCAGTTGGTGTATAAGGATCACACATAACCTGCATGTATCAATAATCAATAATTTCATGGATCTGATATAGTTCCAATTGAATTTGGTACACTAATCAGATAAAACAAACCATGAATTTGGTACACCAGCCTTTATTGAAGTTTAATATAATAATTGATGATTAAGCGTTACATAGATGGATAAAGACGTGACAATAAAAAAAGATAGATAAAAGCAAGCTTTACGTTTTTACACGCCTTGATTCAAGGCAAGACACCGAAACACCCCGTGAAACAAACCATGTTCATACCTAAATGAAAAATCCATAAAGAGATCATTATTTAAAAAAAGAGATAAAACTTCTGATCGCATCAATACAAAGAAATAATAATAATTGAGACTTCTGGTGAAAGATAATCAGAGAGAAGCAAGAGAAAAGGAACAGTTCCCAACGATTATAGTCTATTGGGGTTGTTGAGAGGCCGTAATTTGCATCATGATGGAACCAATAATCAAATTGATATCAAATTATGTAAATAAAAAATCAAAACTTCTTTTTTTTTAGTGAAGAATATGGTAAATACAAAATCAAAGCTTCTTTTTTTTTTTAGTGAAGAATATGAAATCTAAGCTGCTCGCAAAATATTATGGGAAAGCTTATAGATTTCTCAATACACCAAGCATAATTTAAATATTAAACATGAAAGTACTAAAGTGAAAAACTCACCATATGTTCGATTGAATCAACAATTTAATTGTCCTGGAATTGTTTAACGACGTTGCATCCGTAACCTATAACAATACATAAACACCATGAATTCATATGTGTAAAGCCAAATAAAATAAAACGCAAAAAAAAAAAAAAAAAAGCAAAAAAAAATGGGGTTAGTTATGATTTGAAAGTGAAACCTAGAGAAGGTATTTATATTAAACTGAAAGGCGGTGTACGATCTAATTTTTTTAATTTTTGAAGATAATTACAACAACAAGAAATGAAGATTTATATATTGTGTTAGATCAAATCTTTATCAAAACAATTAATATTCCTAAAAACAATTAATAACTACTATGGATATTAATTATAAAAAAATATTCCTTATTTTATTTGTTAAAAAATGGAACAATAACATAATTTTTTTTAGATTTACAATTATATTTGACATTTATTTAGATACACCATCATTATCGGTATAAAATATAAAAGAAAGTTTCTTTTATTTTATCAGATTTGTGAATTTAAAGAATATATGATAGTTGTTTTGATATTATTGGCAATATCTATATATTTTAGAAAAGTAAATTTTACTTTTAAAAACAATTGGCTCGTAATTATCACAACATAAATTTACCATTAATATATCAAAAATATAATTAAATGATTAATTATGAGACACATCTTTTGTTGAAAAAAAAGAACCAAAAAGGAAAAAAAAACACGGAAAAGGAAGAGAAAATAAAAAGACACGACCAATCCTTTCTCCGACGTAATTGTATGTGACTCACGACCATGATTAGATTGGTGGAGATTAATCATTGGATGTTCTTGGTCGAACGATAAACCGTCATAAAAAAGGTATGTAAACTACATTTGATCCAAATTTATTTATTTTTTTCATTTTTTCGTGTTTAAGAATATTACTATTTTTTTAAATGTAAAATATATCGAATTTTTATATTTTAGGGTCAGTTAATTTTTTAATTTTAATTAATATTCGAATTAATTTAATAGAAGGTATTTAAGTAATTACGCAAAATCAAGGGCTCAACAAGAGCCGAGAGTCTAGACACGTCAGATAGTTTTCTCTAGGATAGTTTTTTATTGTCATATAGATTGATAAAAAAGGAAGAGTAGAGAAAATCTTGCGAATTAGGTTAACTTATGAGACATCACTGAACGTGCCTTGATATATATACAAGAATTTTAAACAATACAGGATATTTTAGACTATTCAATATATTTGCCTTTTTTCCGGGCAGTATATTGTATCTCTTATTTTTCGAAAAGTATATAAATTAGAGTATCGATAATTTGTGGGATATATGTAAATTTTGTTGCGAATATGTAAACATTATCGTATAAAAGTTAAAATGCTATAATTTAATAAAATTACAGAGAAAGTTTTATATTAACAATATAAACATCATAACATGTATATAACAATTTGTGATAGTAGATATCATTTTTTCGGGCAGTATATATATCACTTATTTTTCGGAAAGTATATAATTTAGAGTATCGATAATGTGTGGGATATATGTAAATTTTGTTGCGAATATGTAAACATTATCGTATAAAAGTTAAAATGCTATAATTTAATAAAATCACAGAGAAAGTTTTATATTAACAATATAATCATAACATGTATATAACAATTTGTGATAGTAGATATTATAATCGAACCTATATTTTGTCTCGTTAGTCTAAATGTCTGAATACATAAAATAATCATTTATACAAGCCTAAAATAATTGTAATACTTAGGGTATGGAACTGTGTATAATGATTCCATATGCTACGGAAATCTGAAGTCGTGTAGCTTTTTTCACAGTTTACCAATAAGCACAAACAGTCCATTTTTTTTAGAGAACTAAATAATCAATGTTCGGATATATCTTGATGATTCGACGTAATCTTTTAATTTATTAATTAATTATTAAATATGAACACATATCTAACTCTTCGATATAGATTTATGAACCAGGCGCAGTAAGAAACGATCAACTACGAGATATTTGTTCAACAGAACTTAAAAAAAAAATACAGAACATGATTTAAAGTAAAACAATGTCATTTGTCAATAAAAACATAACACAATACCATAATAATTTCAAACAAAAGTTACATAAAAAGTCTATTTATTATAGTCACCCCTCAGCCGTCGATCTCCGGCAGTTTTTCGAAATTGGTTTTGGTTTACGGTCATGCACTTTATCGGGTTGTTGTCAGTGGCGGACCCAGAAAATTATTTTACCAGGTGCAAAATTTTAAATATTAATTATAATATATATATAAAAAAATTGTTATAATTAAATAGTGTGTATATATATATATATATATATATAGTTTGTGAAAATAGTATAGTACCATTGATCATAAAACTTAAATATTTAGTAACACATTTTACCAAATGTAGTGATTATTTATTTTTAATTTCATATTAAAACTTATTTAAAATATTGTGAATTGTATAAATAAATTAAATCTGTTGATTATTCATACTCACAAGAAACAAAAAATTTACATCTTATGAAAATCAATATGTTAAAATTTAGAAAAAGTAATTTAAATGATGCATAAAGGTCTTTTAGATTTAAAAGATAGAAAAACATGTTACATGAAAGGGGAAATTATATTATGCTTTAAAACATGAAAATGTAAATTAGTATAATATTGAAACTAACAAAACAGAATGAATGTAAAAAAAAGAAGACATAATTAATTAAGTAAATGAGAGCATTACACATGCTCCAGAAAAAGGAAATTGAAAAATATAAAAAAATTATTGCAGTGAATGAATCGAACCTACGTCCTCAAACTTTAGGTGGTGCAAACATAGCCATATCTGCCAAAAGACAAAATATCTTATACGTAAAACATAAAATTTATATATTTTAGGTGGGTCAGTTGACCACCCTACTTACAACATGGGTCCGCCGGTGGTTGTTGTAGATACTGTACACCGACAGCACATAAAACAGCGTCGAAAGACTTGTCTTCGAACTCGAATTTCTGATCTTCGTTGAGATCCTTGACGAAGAAGTACTCGAGTCTAGGGTTACGTGCAAGCTCTTGTGCGTTAAGACCATGCCCCACCACTTTCTCGTACTTGACTTCTTCTGGGAGATGGCTAACCCATGGATGTATTCGTTTGGTAGAGAATGGATCCATCGACGTGATCTGCGATCAAACAAAAGAAAAAAGCACCATCAGTAATCGGTATATGGATATAGCACAACGAACGATAATAAATAACAGAAATCTAAATTTAATAACACGTCAAAAACATCAACAAGCAAAGAAAAAAGAAAAAGAAAAACGGGGGTTAGTTATATCATAGAAGCGGACACATGCAATGTATTTATACCGGATGGAGTTCGACTTAAACCTAGGGTTTTGCTCTGTCGGCGTAAGTAATAAAATCAGAGATAAGCAATGGAAAATCAATAATAATAAAAATAAATAAATTAGATAGTTAACTGTTTAGAATATTAGTTTAAGATATACTCAATAGAATAAAGGAATATTAACATTTAACGATCTCGTTATCATCGTATACAAACTCGATATTATCTCACATTAGTTAGTTTTTAAAAAGTAACAATACTATAACTGTCATATTTCTAGAATATATCTATAATTTATAATTTATAATAATAACATATATAATTATTATGGTTACCATACGATATATTGATATGAGCTGTAGTTTAATAATAAATAGGATATAAACTTATTTTAATCTATTAGTAAGATTTAACGAATAATAATTAAAACCAACAATTAACTTATCGTATATGAATAATAATCTATGAGATGATCGTATCGTATTGCTAATAAACTCCCGAAACCCTAGCAACATACATTATCTTGGAAAATCTCTCTACAATGGGTTCGGAAGAAAATATCAGAAGATCAAAGTAAAATTATGGGCTAGCGAGATGGAAAAAAAAGGATATCAAGTCTGTACTCGACACTACGTTGACTTAAACTAAAGGTAGTATTCAAACCCACTAAATATGAATCTTTTGCCGTCGAAAGGTATTATCAAGCCAAGTAGATGGTCACGAAGCTAACATGAGATGGTGGTAACAGGATACAAAAATTAAGATCACAAACTGGTACGTAAACGATATGTAGAAATGTCTAGAGATTCATTTGATGTTAGGGTATCAGGTTCTTCAAGTAACCGGATGTTCTTGGTGGGATGATAAACCGACATAAAAAGGTACGTTAATTGCATTTGATCCATTTTTTTTTTTTGTATTATTTGGTGTTTATAAATATTGATAAAACCAATTAATAAGTTTGCATATTAATATATATTTTTATATATATATATATATATATCGAATATTTATATTTTTATTTTAGGGTAGATATGTATTTTAACCTTAACTAATTAATATTCGAATTTAATAAAGGGTATTTAAGTAATCACACAAAAGCAAGGGCTCAACAAGAGCTGTGAGTCCGACACATCAGCAAAAACACTTCTCAAATATTGTTATTTATAGATATTCGTCTTGATTCGAGTTCAATGGCAATTACACTACTTAGCAGAGTTCCCCTTGAATTTTTCAATGGCTTCAAACAGAGCCGTCCTTAAGATTTTGGTGGCTACAAGCAAAAAAAAAAAATTTCGCTAAGTTTTTTCTATAAAAAAAAAGCAAAAAGCAAAAAGCAAAATCCTCATGGGGTATCGAACCAGAGACTTCAACTCTAGGTTAGTGCACTGTTTCCAGCAGAACTAATGAAATTTTATTAAAATTTGGGGCCGATTAAATACATATATTTAAAAAGACCGCAAGCACCAGCTTGGTTGGCTTGTATCGATCAACGGCTCTGGCATCAAAATAAGAAAGAATTTTCTTGCATACACTTGGAAAAGGGTCAAAGTTCATCTCTTATTTTTATTAATTATTATACATTATTTTATTGAGCCAAATTCAATATTCAAGTTTCTTTTCTTTTTTTGGCAACCAATATACATTATTTCAGTAGACTAAAGTCAATATTGGTGATTGTTGCATCTTGCAAGTATGGGCCAGTGCTTTTGTTTACGAATTCGAGTGATCAAACACAAACACACTTAACGCAAACAAAATGAAAAAAAAAAGTCAATATTGAAAATTTGAAATGCGTAGAATATGCCTGTTTGAGTCTCAGGAAAAAAAAAAAAAAAGAAAGAAAAACAATAAATTTGTTTTGAAAAATGTATACTATTTAATTGCATGAAAAATGAGGGTGCCATATGGCCCAATATTTGTTCGAATCCCAACAGATAATTTGGAACCTAATTTGAAAAAGCCCATTATAGAAAATTTTGTGGATGAAATTACCCAACACATACACAGGGAGATGGTCCGTACCAACTGATTCCCTTGGAGACATGCAGAGCTGATGCCCACCAACGATCGATGAGATAGTCATTGGTTGCGTTTCTGCCGAGGAGATAAAGACACCATTCTGTCTTTAGTGGGGCATCGATTTAGGACAAATAACCAGGTTAGAAATTTCTGTCTTCAGAGAACCAAATCTCTTTGTGACTTTGTTCCAATTCACTTTCGTTCTTGTGCGTTTATCAGAACCACAGCTGTTAGATATATGAGCTTGGATATGACTCCTACTGTCCAAGGTTAAAATCAAAATTAAATAGCCCTGAAAAAAAATTAAAAAGATCTTGAACTGTATTGGGCTTAATAAGCCCATCGACAGTTCTCACATAGTTTTTTGTGTTGTGAAAATATTAAAAACGTGCTTATTTCGTTTCTGTTTGGTTTTATGTTAAGTGATCGGTTTCGTTTAGGGTTTCGGTTTGAAGCTGAACTCATCAGGTTGAAGTTGGTTAGTAAAGGATGTACATAAGTTTATTTGGAAATATCTTATAAGATTTTCTGTGATTATCTTCATAATCTATTAGATTTACACAAATTAAGTTTAATGAGAGTATATATATATATACATAGGTAGAGCTCGTAAAACCAAAAAGAAACGAAAGAGGTTCTATCTAGTTTCCCTGGTCCTCAAGTTTTAGCTTTAGAAGCTTGAATTTTCGGCTCGGGGGATAGATATGTGGTCGCGTTTTCGTGATTTGGCGGATAAAGCTGATATGCTATATGAAAGAGAAGGAGTATCCAAAGACCGCAAGAGTGTCTCAGAAGAAGAAGAGAAGACGAGGTTCAGTATTTTGGTGGATTACGTGGGTATGTTATGTGATGAAGAAGAACGTCGTATTCTTGGATCATCTCCCACAGAAACCAAGACTCTCTTTGATGATAGCGAGAAGAGCCTCTTGGATCATCTCCCACAAAAACCAAGGTCTTCCCTTGAGTATTTTTTTACCAGAGTATACACACGACGAAACAATGAAACACTTAATAGAGTTTCTGCTTCTTCATCGCTCTTCAACACGGCTGAGTTTGAGAGGACGGAGACTAAAAGCCCTCCAAACCCTAATTTGCAATCTTCCCCGTCTTCGTGTGTAATGGAGAACACAAAACGCAAGAGGTATCAGAAAAGGAGTAGTGGTAAATCCAAGAAAGCAAAGGTTGATCCTTTATCACAGACAGCTAGAGAGGCGCCAGAGTGGCTTTTCGATATGATGAGAAAGATGAAAGAAGCTGAAGGCTCGGTTAGGCTGATCTATAGGAAGACTTTGACCGCGAGTGACGTCAAGCCAAGCCAGAGCCGTCTCTTAATACCTTTCAGTCAGTTACTCAGAAACGACTTCTTGACTCCTGAGGAGTCTCAAGCCATAGGCATAGATAAAGAAGAAGAAGACGACAACAACAATAATATTGGTATGAGAACGATTGTCGTGGATCAATTATCTAAAGAGTGGGCTTTACGTTTTAAGATATGTGTGATGAAGAAGAAATCTGGAAAAAGAACCTTGAACTACGCTTTGAATCGGGGGTGGAACAACGTCGTCAGTGGTAACAAATTGAAAGAGAAAGACACGATTAGTCTTTGGACTTTCAGGTGTGGTGAAGACCGCTGCTTTGCCCTTGAGAAAGAGTAGCTCTATGTTTCATTTCTAGTTGGAACATTTTAACATGGTTTTATCTAGTTTTCAATAGGCAGAGTAGAGGTTTTTGTTCTACAGTAGTAGTAGTTTCTTGCAAGTAAACTTAGGGTTTTACTACGATTGTGATCTTACACTTTAATGCTTTATTATTGCTCTTCTCTCCTCTATCACTATTAGTAACTTGCTCTTTCTCTTGCTTGCTCTACTTTAGTTACTGCATCAATAATACCTATGATTTCTTCTCAAATCTTTTACAAATTTTAATCTGGTGTGATGGAATTGATCCAATCGTGCAATTGTTTTAGGTAAATTCCTCCAAAATGTGCTCATAAAAACCAAAATCAGGAACAAAATTTGTTGCCAAGACAGTTTTTTATTTATTTGGCATGTAATATATAATCTGTTTAGATTCAGTATGGAACTTGGAACATTTTCAATTGTTACACGCCACTGTGATGAAACAACTAAAGTGCTGCAAAATTTACTGAGATTACCAACTTCACCTAATTGCCTAGTATAGCAACAAACATTGTGATGAGATTAAATAACACTCGAGATTGTTCTTTAGTGCAGAGAAGAAGAAAATTTTTCTGTTAGAAACCATTAGAGGAACATCTGAGTTTTGCAAAAATACATGTTAAATAGCCGCTTAAACGTATTGGGCCTTTTTATCAAAACAAAAACCATATTGGGCCTAAGCCCATCTAATACATTGTTGGGGAAAAAATTGTTAAACCTCTCTGTTGGTTCTATCTTCCTCATCGTCGTCGTCTCCTCCGAGTCCGTAAGCATCGACGATTCTCTCATCTTCTCTCATACACGACGACACTGGTAATTTTGGTTTTGATTGTTTTCCACTTCAATCTAAGATCTGTTGCTTTTAGCTTCTGTTTGCTTTTATACTGTGATTTGGTTTCGTTTAGGGTTTCTTCCGATTTGAATCTGAAACCCAATCTCTTCCCTTTTTTCGATTTAGGGTTTGATTTAGAGTTGAAAGATGTACAACGGAATAGGGTTACAGACCGCTAGAGGATCAGGAACTAATGGTTATGTTCAGACGAATAAGTTCTTTGTGAGGCCTAGAAATGGTGGTAAGCCTGTTAATGGTGGTAAAGGGTTTGAGGATGATCAAGGTACTGCTGGTTTATCTAAGAAACCCAATAAAGCTATCCTCGAGCATGACCGAAAGCGTCAGATTCATCTTAAGCTTGCTATTCTTGAGGATAAGCTTGCTGATCAGGGTTATTCTGATGCTGAGATTGCTCAGAAGCTTGAGGAAGCTAGGTTGAGTCTTGAAGCTGCTGCTAATGAGGAGAGTGATGGGGCTGGTGACTCGAAGATTTCTGATACTCAAACTCATCAGGTTGCTGCGAGGAAGGAGAAGCAGATGGAAGCGTTTCGAGCTGCGTTGGGTTTGCCTGATCAGAAAGAGGTGGCTGAAGAGGGTATTATTGATGATGAGCCGATGGGGGAGGCTTATGAAGGTAGATTGAAAGAGAGACGGGAACATTCATTTTTGGACCGAGATAGTGGGAGGAGGAAGGTAGATGAGGATGTGGATGGGAAAGATGGTAAGGTTAAGGAAAGCAAGAAGCCGCGGGGGGAGGATGATGATGTGGATGAAGTGAAGCGTCACAAGAAAAAAGACAGCAAGAAGAGAAGACATGGTGATTCATCTGATGAGTCTGATGAGAATGGCCGTGACCGTAGAAGGCGCTCTAAGAAGAAGGCTAAGGGGCGTAAACAAGAAAGTGAAAGTGACTCTAGCAGCTCGGATTCTGAATCTGACTCTGACAGTGATGATGGAAAGAAGAGAAGAAGGAAGAAGGCTTCAAAGAAACGCAGTAGAAGCAAAAGAAGTGTCTCTTCTGATTCTGAGGAAGTTGAGAGTGATGACAGCAAGAAACTTAGGAAGTCACACAAAAAGAGTCGCCCCTCCAACCGATCTGGTTCTAAAGAAGTAAGGGACAAACATGATGAACAAAGCAAAGCTGGACGAAAGAGGCATGATTCTGATGTTAGCGAGCCTGAGTCTGAGGATAATAAACAACCACTGCGAAAGAAAGAAGAGGCTTACCGTGGAGGACACAAGCAGAAAAGAGATGAGGAAGATGTGGAGGCCGATTATTTGAAAGACAGATATAGAGATGGTTCTGGTGGCAAGAAAGCTGCACGAGACTCTGATGACAGTGAGGCTGAGTACGAAAACAAGAAACAACTGCGCAGTAAAGTAGAAGCTTACAGTGCAGGAATGAGCCAGAAAAGAACTGAGGAAGAAGATGTGTCCAAACATGGCAAGGACCAGTATAGAAGTGATTCTCGTGGCAAGAAAGTTGCAAGAGACTCTGATGACAGTGAGGCTGAGTATGAAAACAGGAGGAAGCTAAAGGATGAGAGTTACCAAAGAGGAAGGAAGAACATAAGAGAAGAGGACGAGGACTATAATAACCATGGGAGGGACAGGTATAGAAGTGATGATGCTGTTAAAAGACATGGAACAATTAAGGAAGACGATAGGTATAGAGGTCGAGCCATTGAGGAAGAAGACAGCGATAAAGGAGATGATGACAGGGGTAGATACAGACCGAGACGTGAGTCTGTTAAGGATGATGAGGAAGAGTATAAGCATGGGAGAGACAGGTACAGAGGTGATAAAGAGGACAGGTACAGAGGTGATGCAAGACGTGCAACGGGTAGACGAGATGAAGATGATGATAGAGTAAGCAGAGAGCGTGACTACTCAAGCAAGAGTCGAAGTCGTTATGATGATGGACGATCAAGTGGCAAGAGATCTTCCTATGGTGATGATAGAGCTTGATGATTCTGTTTCATCCATGTGTCTTTTTAAGTATCTTAAATGTTTGTTGTGTGTTTTGTGGGTTTGTCACAAACAATCCTTGTTTTTACTTTTGAGACGTTAATTAAGGTTACATGTTGGTCAAATGTTGTCTTTTGGATTGGAGCCAAATCTCACAACACCTGGCTCAATCTGGTGAATTTGATCAATTGGTCACATTTCGAGTTATTGGGACAATTAATGCTAAAATCTAGATTTAGCTTTATGAGTTTTTATTTGGTATGAAATCTCATGGAAATGGATATAAATCTACGAGAAATTGTAATAAAATCTTTAGTTAATTGATGATTTTCGTTTTTTCTTAAGATGTTTATATAATCTGAAATAAGAGAGCGCGGGACGAGAGAACTGGGGGAGAAAAAAAAAAAAGTGAAATAGAATTAAGAAAAAAAAAAAAAAAAATTCGCTGTGGAGAAGAAGAAGACGAAGGAGTTGAAGAAGAAGGAAGACGGAGAAGCTTGAGCTTGTGAAGCTCTCTCTACTTGCTAAACTGGTTCTTGTAGATTCTCAGGTACTTTCTCTTCTTCGCTCTTTTTTTTTATTCTCAATTTTGTTGTAATTTCTTGGGTAATTATCACTGTTCCTTTCTCGATCTGGGTTTCGAGGCTGAATCGTTTAACCCTAGATGCAATTTCATCTCCTTGTGTGTGCATTTTTTATTAGGGTTTTTTATTCCTTGAAACGCCGTGATAATTTCCAAATCTTCGTTAAATCGGAATTGTTAACAATGTTGGTGTGTTTCCGTTTTCTAGGGTTTTCGGTTGTTACTGGGGAAATTTTGTTGGTGGTGACACAATGAGTAGACCTAACACCCGAAACAAGAACAAAAGACAAAGACCAGATGCTGTTGATTCTTCTTCTCAGATTCTCCGGTACGATAACAAGACTCACCTTAGCTTTTCTCAAAACTAGTATCTTTTTTTTTTTTTGTTAAAAATGCTTTCTTTTTGCAGGAAAATTCACGAGGCTAATGATGTAACTGATGATGACATTAACCAACTTTTCATGATATGGAAGCCAGTTTGTCAAGGTTGTCGTGTAAACTCTCGTGACAATCCTAACTGCTTTTGTGGGTTGGTTCCACCGGTTAATGGAAGCCGGAAATCGGGTTTGTGGCAGAAAACGTCTGAAATTATTTTGTCTCTAGGTCCAGATCCGACCTTGGACCGTCGTGATTCTGACTCTACACCGGCTGGTCTGACCAATTTGGGTGCTACTTGTTATGCCAACAGTATACTTCAGTGTTTGTACATGAATACTGCTTTCCGAGAAGGAGTTTTTTCTGTTGAGGTTGATGTCTTGAAGCAGTATCCAGTCTTGGATCAGATTGCTCGGCTTTTTGCACAATTGCATGCTAGCAAAAAGTCTTTTGTTGATTCAGATGCTTTTGTGAAGACGTTGGAGTTGGATAATGGGGTTCAACAGGATACCCATGAGTTCTTGACATTGCTTCTCTCGTTGCTTGAGCGTTGCTTACGCCATTCTGGAGTTTACAAAGCCAAAACAATAGTTCAAGATCTCTTCAGTGGTAGTGTCTCGCATGTGACCACGTAAGATTGAGCTTTTTTTTTTTAGGAAGATTTATATGGTTTTTAAGGCAAATTAGTATCTACATCTGAGTTACTTATGTGCAAATGTGATGAATCATGAAATGACAAATCATATCTGTTTTTTTTGGTGTCATGGTCATCCGTTGATTTTGTCTATTGTCTTGTAGGTGCTCAAAATGTGGGAGGGATTCCGAAGCTTCGTCAAAGGTGGAGGATTTTTATGCCCTTGAGTTGAATGTTAAGGGCCTCAAAACTTTGGATGCTAGTTTGAATGATTACCTTAGCTTGGAGCAGCTTAATGGCGATAATCAATATTTTTGTGGAAGCTGCAATGCTAGAGTAGATGCCACACGCTGCATTAAGCTGCGCACACTACCTCCTGTTATCACTTTTCAGCTCAAACGATGCATTTTCCTTCCTAAGGTGATTTCCTCGATCTTAATATGCCATTGTTCATGAATCAAGAGAAAATGATCTCCACTGTTTTTCTAGTCATTTTCTTGTGAATTGCATAAAAATCCAAACATCTTCCTGCATACTTTTTTTCAACAAGAAGCATCATTACCTCTTGTCTGTCTTTGTGTGTTACAAGTGCTGAGGCGATTTTCTTGTATGCTCTCTTTGGCTGATTGAGTTATCGACTTTTTACTCATGGTCATTCTCATACCTTTTTCCTCCTTCTCTCTGATACACAACTTGCATGTTTTTATGC